TTATTTTTGTGACCTCAAAGAAACTCCTATTGTGTCTATTCTTTTTCTTCTCTCTCCTCCTCATCTTTTTTCTTCTTCTCTTTTTCTTCGGCGATTCTCAGAAGCACTCGTTAGGCCGCGGAGTCCTTACTCAGAACCGCGTCCGCCAGTCAGGTTGCAGGAATTCTATGTTGCATTTTTCTTCTGAGAACTCGCGACACATTGCAAGTACAGTGACCTCTTGGGTTAAACCGGTTTTTTTTAATTTGTTATTATTTTGTTTTATCTATTTTTGTGTATTTTTGTTTGTTTGTTTATTTTATTTGTATTTTTTTCTTATTTTATTTATTTTTTGTTTATTTATTTATTTATTTATGTATTCATTTTTTTGGAAGGTTGATTGAAAAGTTTAAATTCCGTAATTTCAGTTCAGAATGAAGGAGATCGTAATCTTTTTGAATTATTTCGATTATCTATCATTTACTCCCATTAATTAAGGACTGATTAATCGACTAACACTCCCCCCCATTTCCCTCAAATTCTGCAATCAGTTCACCCCCCTTTGGCTGAAGCGCAAGAATACAAGGGCGTTTTAGGCTCGGGTTCTCCCCTACACAACCCGGAGTTATGGAGCCCCGTTGAGACCGATAAACCCGGGTTATGTATTGGAGGCGATCATTGCCCTTTCAAACCCGACGGCGATGGTCTCTGAACCGTCAGCTTGGACTCGGTGATAAGGTCGAGTTTCCCTCCGCTCTTCGCTTTATATGCTCGTTCGGCTTTCTGTCTTTGGTTTTGTTTGTTTGTTTGTTTGTTTGTTTTGGTTTGGTTTGGTTTGGGGGTTTCTCGCTCTGTTTTGGTTTCTGTCTCTTATTCATGATTATCTTATTCATCGTTATTTAATTATAAGTTTTTTAATTTTTTCCTTTATTTTATATTGTTGGCTTGTCATGGTTACTCATTCTTTGTCTCTTAAGGTTTTCCGGTTATTCTCTCTCTCTCTCTCTCTCTGTCTGTCTGTCTGTCTGTCTGTCTCTGTCTCTGTCTCTGTCTTTGTCTGTTCTCTCTCTCTCTCTCTCTCTCTCTCTCTCTCTCTCTCTCTCTCTCTCTCTCTCTCTCTCTCCTCTCTCTCTTCTCTCTCTCTCTCTCCTCTCGCTCTCCTCTCTCTCTGCTCTCTCCTTTCTCTCTCTCTCTCCCCTCCCCTCCCCCCCCCCTCTCTCCTCTCTCTTCTCTCCTTCCCTCCTTCCCCCCCTTCCGGCCCTTCCCCTCCTTCCCCTCCTTCTCCCCTTCCCTCCTTCCCTTCCCCTTCCTTGCCCCCTTCCCTCCCTTCCCCCCTTTCCCTCCTTCCCCCCTTCCCTCTTTCCCCCCTTTCCCCTCCTTCCCCCCTTCCCCTCCTTCCCCCCTTCCCCCCTTCCCCTTCCCCCCTCCCTCGACCAAGCCCTCGAAACTTCCCTCTTTTTCCCCGCCTTGAAGTTGGACCCGAACTGCGTTAGGAAAGAGGGTCCTGCTTGCTCTTCTTCAGTTTCTTGTGGCCTTTCTTGGTCTCTCTCTCTGTTTCTTTCTGTTTCTCTCTCTCTCTCTCTCCTCTCATCTATCATTCTATGTATCTGTTTATCTTTCTATCCATCTATCTATTTACCTATCCATTTGCCTATTCCTCTATCTATTTCCCTCTCCATCTATCTATCAATCTATCTCTCCCTCTGACCTCCCACCCTCTCCCCACACCCAATTTACCCCCAAAACCCCACTTCAAAGAAACGAAGAGAAACACCAGCAGTTCTTTGGCCTCTCGATCGACTCAACGGTCATTCCCGCTTTCCCTCGACTCTGATTGGCCGTTAGTTGACTGGCTGATTTCTGATTGGCTGATAGTTGGTTGGGCGGTTTCTGATTGGCCGATAGTTGGTTGGCTGATTCCTGATTGGCTGATAGTTGGTTGGGCGATTTCTGATTTGCCGATAGTGATTGGGCGATTTTTGATTGGCTGATAGTTTGATTGGGCGATTCTGATTGGCTGATAGTTTAATTGGGCGATTTCTGATTGGCTGATAGTTTGATTGGGCGATTTCTGATTGGCTGATAGTTGGTTGGGCGATTTCTGATTGGCCGATAGGTTATTGGGCGATTTCTGATTGGCCGATAGTTGGTTGGGCGATTTCTGATTGGCTGATAGTTGGTTGGGCTGTTTCTGATTGGCTGATAGTTGGTTGGGCGACTTCTGATTGGCTGATAGTTGGTGGGCGATTCCTGATTGGCTGATAGTTGGTTGGCGATTCCTGATTGGCTGTAGTTGGTTGGGCGGTTTCTGATTGGCTGATGGTTGGCGGTTTCTGATTGGCTGATAGTTGGTTGGGCGATTTCTGATTGGCTGATGGTTGATTGGGGGGTTTCTGATTGCTGATAGTTGGTTGGGCTGTTCTGATTGGCTGATAGATTTGATTGGGCGATTTCTGATTGGCTGATAGTTGGTTGGCTGATTCCTGATTGGCTGATAGTTGGTTGGGCTGTTTCTGATTGGCTGATAGTTTGATTGGGCGATTTCTGATTGGCTGATAGTTGGGGCGATTTCTGATTGGGCCGATAGTTTGATTGGGCGATTTCTGATTGGCCGATAGATTGGGCGAGTTTTTGGGCGATTTCTATTGGCCGATAGTTTGATTGGGCGATTTCTGATTCGATAGTTGATTGGGCGATTTCTGATTGGCTAGTTCCGGTGGTTTGCGAGGACCGTGAAGCAACGTTGGTTAAAGGCGCAGGTCATTTCGTCGGCGGCAATGAGGTCAGGTCGAGCTTACGGGGAGGCGAGAATGCACTCGGGCGGGAGGTAAGCTGGCCTTGGGTCGGGTTGGGGGAGGAAGGGAAGGGAAGAGGGACGGAGGGAGGGTGTAGGGTAGAGGGTAAGGTGAAGGGGAGGGAGAGGGAGGGAATGGGGAGGGGGTGGGTGAAGGGGAGAGGGGGTAAAGGAAAGGGACGGAAGGGGATAGGGTAAAGGGAAGAGAGAAGGGTAAAGGAAGGAAAGGGAGGTGAAGAGGAAGGAAGGGAGAGGAACGACAGGGTGAGTATGGGGGAGGAGGGTGAGAAATGCGAAATTTTTCTGTCTTTTTGGGTTTTAGCTTTTCTCTATACTTGAAATAGGGGTTATGTATATGTACACACATGCGCGCGCGTGTGTGTTTGTATGAATATATGTGTGTGTGTGTATGAATATATGCATTTGTGTGTGTGTGTGTGTATGAATATATGCATTTGTGTGTGTGTTTGTCTGTCTATATACACACAGAGTACTATATACTGGCATGTGTATGGAGATCCCTATCTGTGTGTTTGAACTTTAGTGTGTGTTTTATATTTTTGTATTTTGTAGAATGCCCAAACTGCATACTGCCATCTAATGGGATTCTTAAAAAAATACAAAAATAAAAACTTCGCACATTCCCGATAATTTACAAGCCAATTGGATAATCCTATTGGCTTTTATTTCTCCATTGTCGGGCTTTCGCGTTTCGTCTTTGGCCATTTTAGGGCCATTTGCGACTCTTTGTGAATACACACACGCGCACACGCACGCACGCACGCACGCACGCACGCACGCACGCACGCACGCACGCACACACACACACACACACACACACACACACACACACACACACACACACACACACACACACACACACACACACACACACACACACACACACATACACACACACGAAAATACTCACCCGCACACAAGCACACACACACATGAACACACACACACGCACGCGGACGCTCACACACACACACACACACAACTCACACACGCACACACACGCATGAACACGCATTGCATGAACACACACACACACACACACGACGAACGATGATATCATATTATCTATCATATAAAGAAGAAAAATAACCTTGAAATCAGCAACAATAAGGTCGAGGAAAGAAAAAAAAGACGAAGAAAATAGAGAAACGGGAATAGGAAGAAGGGAGAAAGAAACGTACGTTATTTATCGTTCGTGACCTTGAGATAATTCAATTGTTAATGATTTAATTGAAGGAGAAAAATGTGGATGGGGAGATGCAGATAACGGACTGGTAACATTTTTTATTTATCTTAGATTGTATTGTGGTTGTTGTTATTATCATTATTATCATTGTTATTATCATTATTGTTATAGGTATTATTATCATTGTCATCATTATTGCTATTATCATTATTATTATTATTACTATTGTTATCATTGTTATTATTATTATTATTAGTAGTAGTAGTAGTAGTGATAATATCGTCATCATCATTATTGATATTATCATTATTATTATCATAATTGTTATTGTTATTCTTATTCTTATATATTATTATTATTATTATTATTATTATTATATATATCATTATTATTATCATTATATCATTGTTAATGTTATTTTTTCGTGTCCTCGTTGACATTTCCTGTGAGATCAACATAATCATGCACTTTTTATCTTTTGGAGAAAGAGGGGAGGCGGAGAGAGAGAGAGAGAGAGAGAGAGAGAGAGAGAGAGAGAGAGAGAGGGAGAGCAAGAGAGGGAGAGAGAGAGAGAGAGAGAGAGAGAGAGAGGAGAGAGAGAGAGAGAGAGAGAGAGAGAGAGAGAGAGGAAGAGAGAGAGAGAGAGAGAGAGAGGTGATTAGTAGTTTATGGACATAGTGTAAGTGTCGAGAATCATTTGGGAAGATAGATATTATAGAAATCGAGGATAAGAGAGGAAGAGGATAATCAGATATTAAATGAGATGAAGAGAATAAGAGGGAGAGACAGATAGGCATGCAGAGAGATTGATAGGTAGATGGATAAATAGGTAGATAGATATGGATAGACAGATAGACAAACAGACAGACAGACTGAGACGCACAGATAGAGACAGAGTGAGAGAGAAACATTTACCGAACAAAAAGAGACAAAGAAAGTAATAAAAAGCAAGGAAAAGATAGGAGTACGTAAAAAAGGGGAGGATGGAGAGATAGAAGGAGGAGGAGGAGGAAGAGGAGGTATGGGGAGGAGGAGGAGAAGAAGAGAAAGAGGGGAAAAGAAAAAGAAGAGGTGGATGAAGAGATAGATAGAGAGGAGAAAGAGGATATAGGAAGAAGGAGAAGAAAGAAAAAAAGAAAAAAAAGAAAAAGAAAAAGAAGGGGAAGAAGAAGAAGATGAAGAAGAAGAAGAAAAAGAAAAAGACGAAGAAGAAGAAGGAAACATGCGGTAAGGATATGCAAATTGACAAGAGAGCGAGAGAGAAGGAGACTAAGTGGCACCTCCATTAGTATTCACGCCGGTGCCACACTATTTTTATGGCACCGGATTGGCACCCGAGGGAATGAGGGAGGGGGAGGGGGGGGAGATAGCCAGTGGCATAGGGAAGAGATAGATTGAGAGCAAGGGAGAATAAATAAAGATAATGATGGTGAAAGTAGCGATGATGGTGGTGAACGGGGATAGTGATGATGATGGTGATGAACGGGGATAGTGATGATTGTGAATAATGATAGTGATTATGACTATACAATTCTGCGTTTGTTATTATGATAATGATAGTATGGATAAAGTTTTGAGATATAAATCATGAGATATTGATAATGACGTCATCAATGTCATTAGTCATAATTATTATATATGCGATGGTGTCATCACTTTTATTAATTACAATATTAATAATTTTAGATAAAACATGAAGATAAGAATAAGAAAAAGAGAGTAAAGGAGAGTAAATGAAAGGAGACAAGAACAAAAAAAAAAAGGAAGAAGTTTTTTTTTTTTTATGAATAATGATGAAAGGAAAAGAAAAAAAAATCAAAGAACACTTGTAAGAATGTAGACGAGAAGAAATGAAAAGGCCCGGATGTAACACAGAAAACGAGAGCCTCACAGAAAACGGAAATAAACAAGTAGATTACGAAGAAAAGTTGATTGAAAGAGAGAAAAGAGGAGAGAGAGAGGGAGGAGAGAGAGAGAGAATGAGAATGAGAGAGAAAGAATTAGAGAGAATGAGAGAGAGAGAGAGAATTAGGAGAGAGAGAGAGAAAATTAGAGAGAGAGAAAAAAAAACATATCGTTGAGGTTTTTAAAAGTGGATAGAATCAGAATAGAATGGATCATAAGATCATAAAAAGAAACGCGGAAAATAGAAAATCATAAAGATAATAGATTATGAAGAAATATAAATAAATATGAATATAATATAAAATATATAAATAAATATGAATAAATATGAATAGAAATAAATAAATATATATAAATAAATAATATAAATAATATAAATATAATATAAATAATATAAAATATAAATAAAATAATAAATATCACGATGCAATCAGTGTGCAAATAACATCAACATGAAAAATCAACGCTTTGATCCTTCATTTTAGAGGAAACTGAACAAACGGGGAAGAGAAACAAGCAACAAACAAACAAGCGGGAATCGTCAAATCCGCTTTGGAAAAGAAAGAAAATATATGAATGATGATTTTTTGTTGTTGTTGTTGTTGTTGTTGTTGACCAAGCCTGTTGTGGTTCACCTTACTTCCGACAATAGGATTTCTTGTAGTTTCTCTCTTCTCTTTCGCATTGTCTCTCTTTTTTTCTCTCGGTCTTTGTCTTTTGTGGTATTTTTGTTTGTTTGTTTTTGGTTTTTCTGTTTACAAGCTTGAATTGGCCTTTTTCTTTCTTTCTTTCTCTGTCTTCTTTCTTCTTCCCTCCTCTCTTGCCCCTTCCTCCTCCCCTTCTTCCCTTCCTCCCTCCTCCTCCCTCCTCCTCCCCTCCCTCCCTCCCTCCTCCTCCTCCTTTCCTTCCCTCTTCCCCTTCCCTCCCTCCTCCCTCCTCCCCCCCTCCCTCCCCCTTCCTCCTCCCTCCTTCCTTCTCCCTTCCTCTCTACTTCCTCCCACGCGCTCCAGAAAAAGTCATCTCACTTCAGACACCGAATGAATATGAAGAAGCGGATAAAGATAGGAGAGAGAAAATAGAAGAAAAAAAGATGGAAAGAGAGCTTCCCCGCGCGGAAATGAGATTAAAAGGACGAAAGAGGTTTAATTCAACTGAGAGATGAGGAGAAAGTAGGGGGGGGGAGGAGGAAGGAGAAGAGGGAGAGGAGGAAGGAGAAGAGGGAGAGGTAGCAGGGGTGGAGAGGAGGAAGTAGAAGAGGGAGAGGAGAAAGGAAGGGAGAGGTAGTAGGGGGAGAGGAGGAAGGAGAAGAGGAGAGGTAGTAGGGGGAGAGGAGAAGAGGGAGAGGAGAAGGAGGGGGGTGAAAGAAGGAGGAAGGAGAAGTGGGAGAGATGAAGGAGGGAGAGGAGAGGAGAAAAGAGGGGAGAAGAGAAAAGAGGGGAGAGGAGAAAGGAGGGAGAGAGAGGGGAAGGAAATGGGCAGAAATAAGGGGAGAAGGAAAAAAGGAAGGGGAAAAGAAAGAGGGAGGAGGAGAGAAAAGGCGAAAGAGGGAAGTAAAGAGAGGGAAGAAAGGAGAAGTAGAGAGAGAGAGAGAGAGAGAGAGAGGAGAGAGAGGAGA